CCTTTTAGGTGTGTTTTCAAGTGCTTCATTCCAAAACGCCTTGGTAGTATTTTTCTCATCATTTAGGATAAGTAGAGAGAGCCACCCTGGTAGATATTCACACTGGCTTTTAACACACTAAAAGGCGTCCTTCTTGTTTGATTAGTAGCTGCTGTCTCAGCTCAGCTCACCCGGGACCCTCCCCTCCTCTCTGACCTTCAACTGAAGGGCCACTTCCTGGCTCAGAGGGAACCTCCAAAAGCGAGCCCAAGCCCAGGCTGGCCTGACACATGGGCGCTCCAGACACTCGGGTTTTCTTTTCTTTCTTTTCTTTTTTCTTCAAAGTGTTTTCAAAGTCATCTCTGGAATCCCTGAGATGGAGCACAGTTTGAAACTGATTCCTCCTCATTTGCTCCGTGTCTACGATTTCAATGCAAGACAGTGGGATGGGCCCAGGGAAGCATGAGCTTCTCTGTGAAGCCACCTCTGGGCCCTCGTGAAGCCTCCAGTGGTCGAGTGGTTGGTTCCCTCGACATCATGTCATTACGTTCTAAATAGTCTGAGTCAAGTGACAGAGACTTTTGGTTTGCAACATAAAGGATACAGTTAAGAGAGCAAATGTCCTGTCTCATCCCTGCCCGTCGCTGATTGGAATGCAGTGATGAAGGCAGCAGGTCTGTGTTTGGCAGCTTTCTACCAGGACCTCTGACTCTGGCATGAGAAGCGGCCAGGAGGTCAAATGTAAACTGTGACTGTGGTCAGTGAAGGGCAGGGATTTGGTAACAGCAAGAAATAATCATTAACCCACGTGATTGGGTTCCTTGCTTACAAAATAATTATGTTTGAAAGTTAAAAAAAAATAATAAACATGTCGGCTGCTCCCAAGATCTGGCCCAGCTTCCCCTCAAAATGGCTAAGGCTAGCTCCGTGGGGTCACCTCCGGCCACCTGGCCCTTTCTTTGCTGCTCTGAATCTCAGGTGTTGGATCCTGCCCTCCAGCGTCATTGCTGAGGATGCCACTCTAGAAATTAACGAGAGCACATCTCAGTTTCCTAAGATGGATACAACCTATTTTCTACACAGCTTTTAAACAACAAAAAAAAATTATTTTCAAATGGGCTCAGGTTTGAGATCATATTGGCAGTCTCCACCAAGAAAATAAAAATAGACGTCAGATATATTTATCCTCTTACAATTAGTCACCTGTCACTGGATCAGGCCCTGAGCCGAATGTGCCGTGAGACCGTCTCCTTCTGAGTCTTCCCAGTCATACGTGTGGTGTGAGCGGCCCAGAACCCACCTCCTTGCACAGCACTGGAACAAGGATCCGGGGTCTGTGTTGCTCAGTTTAATGCAAGTGCAGACACAGTGCTGCCCCATGGGACACAGCAGCATGGTTTTTTTTTTTTCTCCCAAACCTGTCATATTTTGAGTGTGAAAGGAGAAATCAAAGGCAGACTCTCTCCCAAAAAAGGCGGGGGGCGGGGGGGGGGGCAGATGTGCTTATTTACTCAGCTCTTCAGTTATTTATCAAAGCGCACTCGGTGCGGCAGCCTGCAGAGCACCTGAGCTCTCTTTTGCCTTCCTCACCTCGATTTACATTTTGTTTGTTACATACAGCACCCCGGAGCCCGCAGTCTCTCCAGTCTGTCCAGAACAAATGTGCTCGCAGGAAGATCTTTATCTTCCAGGTTCCGTCTGGGACATTTGTCACGCAGGGATTCCCTTCATGGGTATTTTGGAGACTTGGAAAAAATTGTGTGCTTTTCATTAAAACCCACATACAGTGGGGCCTAATCCGTTTGACTGGGTGATGGAAATTTTTGCTCTGTCTACTCTTGTGTATATGGAGATTTTCCTGGGATTAGACGATGTTTAAGGTCCCGGATTTCTGAACACTCATGATTGTCAAGAGATCATCCAGGCACCCAGGGGGAGGCTGTTGATGGGGGAGAAGCCAGCTTCCCTGAGACAGCGCAGTCTGGTTCCCAGGGAAGAAGCTCCGTGTTTTGTCACTAGAAGAAGACTGTCGGTGGGTTTTTAAGGATTGAGGAGTGGTAACCAGGAGTTTGGCCAAGGTGACCAGAGTGATCCGTCGATTCCCATTGTGATCCGATAATTAGTTTGTTCTTCCTTTGTCTCAAAAGGAAAAAAAGAAAGTAAATCCTCTTTTTCTTGAAGCCTGCATTTCAGGAGTCACCTTGATTCCCTTTGATTCCAAACCTGAGTTCATCATTAAATGCTCCAGGGGAAATCCATAATGCAAATGCCAAAAAAAAAAAAAAAAAAGAAAGAAAGAAATAAAAAAGATGAATACTGGAGAATTGTATCCGACGCTTACTTACCTTGAGGACCATTGGTTCTCCGAGGTTAAACCCTGGGGATATCACTGTGGCTGAAGTTCAGTGCTGGCCCCCAGCCAATGTGTCCTGTGTTAATGGGAGGGGTAATAATCAAAACTGAGGAGACCTTCGTTTTTGGAACATATTTTTCCAATCCCTGCATTCGCAACCACTTGTTTCTCTCTTATGCAATCCTCCCAGCCTGGAACAAAGGCTGTCAGTGAGAGACAGAGCCCTCCGTGACGCTGCAGTTGTGGTTGATGAAGAACTCTGTCACCAGCCTCTGTTTTCTGAAACATTGGCTTTGACATTTTTTAGGCATAATACAAGAAAAGTGTCACCTGAGAGACTGGATATAATAGCATTTTTAAGAGAATGCTTTGCATCACTTACGTGCTTTTCAGAAACATTAAGCATTTGGGGAAGCGATGAGAATCGTGTTATATTAGGGCCTTAGTCAAAGTATTATTTAGTAAAGGTTAATAAGATTTTAATTATATTCAGATTCCTTGTTGAATGTTGCATTTTATGTATGTGTCCACCCAATACAAATTTCTGAATACTTTAATTTAGACCACTTACGAGGATTATGTATTTTGTTAAGGGTCTTTATTTATAATAGCCAAATTTGTTTAATGGTTCTCTTTACAGAAATCTGCATTAGCTGAGTTATAAAGAAAATGAAATTATTTAGTGTATCCATTGTATTTCCAGATTGTGTAAAAATGTTAGTAACATTGATTAACTCTGGATAAATTACGAGTGCTAATAACAAAATGTCACAAATAACTCATTCAAGCATTTAATTCTTGTGCATTCTTCTATTATATGTTGGAAACAAAAAGATATAAATTGTAATGGGGTGAAATGAAAATAAATCAGGATTTCTGAAATTAAAGATAAGAAGGCAGGAATTATAAAAGACCACTTCCGTGATGGGACCTGCCTCTAAATTTAATCATATCACCTTACATAAGGTCAACGCCCCCCTTTTTTCAGAAATGAGTTTTCCAGCAGCTCCTTCCCTCTGGCAGCCTTTTATCCCTTCAAGTTCTCTGGAAGTTCACCCACGTCACTCCCAGCCCTCAGGAATTTAGACATAGCAGGGTGTGGAGGCCACTGCTGGGGTGAGGCACAATGGTAGCAAAAAACGAAAAAACGGAGATTTTGAGTTAGCGGTGTCTGAGTCGAAGGCAGAGGCCTCAAGAGGTGTGATACCAAGATTTCCAACAAAATAATTGAAATAGAAAAGAAAAAAATAAAAAGGTTTGGAGCCTGTAAGAACCCTGTCTCTACTTTCTGGGGCACCCAGTTTAGAAGTGTGATACCCCAGTAATGCTAGATGAAATGACAGGCCACTCTCCTCGGCATCTGGGTTATGACGACAGCACACGGAGAAGGGAGTGGTGTGGACAGCCAGCATCGTTTCTATTACCACGAGATGGAGAGGCCTAGTGTCCTGGAAAGATCTCGTGACCGGCAGGCCGGGCACGGGGGACACACCTGATGCTTCAGAATCACAGCATCACCGGGTTCCAGTCCTGCTCTACCATTTCCACTGAACAGCACGCTGGTTTGGGGAAATGCACAGTTTCCTCATCTGTAAAACAGAGTTCAGAAGGGCACCCCCTCTGGGGGAGGATGTTATAATGGGGGCAGGGGTATAGGAGAAATCTCTGTACCTTCTGCTCACTTTTGCTCTAAAAAATAAAGTCTATTAAAAAATAAAGTACGGTCTGGTTTTTAAAAAGAGGAGAGGAATGGTAGCCGTCTCACAAAATTATGTTGAGAATTCAGTGAGACTCTTTCTATGAGGCTTGTCATGTAGTCGCACTTAGTAAGTGTTAGCTAATTTTATAATATTTGTTATTAATCATAGGGGCAGAAGTATGTGCTTAAAACAGCTTTTTGAAAAGTTTTCTCAAAAGTTTTAAGCATATACTATTGTCCTTGCGAATCATAATGAATATTATAATCTTATGCTTTAAAAATCATATCTGGACAAGATAGGTGGGATATAAGATTAATAAAGTAGCTATTTTAATAAGCATTATCCAGTCAAATAGTAAGTCAAAAAAGGCAGAATCCTTTCTATTTTCACAGCTTCACGTCCTGAGGTCTGGTTTTGATTTCTCTGATCAGTCACTCGGAACGTTATAGAGATCCCTCGACATTATTTACAGTTTCCAAATAGTAAACTCTTTTTGATATGATGTTGCAGACAGAAAGGGCCCAAGAGACCACCTGCCCTAACCTCTTCACTTTATCAACTCTTGTTCATTTTTCATAAAACGAGATGCCAAGGGTCCCGTCTCCCAGCCCTGCTCTTTCCAAAATTGGGTACCCGTTAGCTGCTCAGGCCCCGATGTGTGTGATGTAATTGTCTGTTTGTGAAATGGCATTTGTCGTCGGTAACAGACAAGTCATGACTGCAGGCCTTATATTGGGTAGATTTTTTTTTAACAGCTTCACTTACACTATTTGGAATACAGTTCACTTCTTATACTAAAGACTGGGCACACTCAAAATTGTTGCCTGTAGGTCAAAAATGGATACATATTCCCAAGATCCTAGCATTCAAAATCACAATGGTCTGTGTAGTTTTGTTTCTGTCCATTGAAGCTCATTTCAGAATCCTTTATTTAAAACATTTCTGAATAATGCACTTCTTTATTCAAGGTCAACACAAGATAAAGTTCATTCCAGAAATGGTCGGCCCAATATTAGAAATGACACTGATTCCTGAGACAGAGCTTCGCAAAGCCACCATCCCCATCTTCTTTGACATGATGCAGTGTGAATTCCATTCCACCCGAAGCTTCCAGATGGTAAGGACGTGGGTGTGCAGTAAGTGGCTTGGAGAGAAAAGGGGGACAAGCCTGAGTACCTTGAGACTTATAGATGGTTCTCCGGTTACACATGCTGAATATGGAAAACCTAATTCCCTACAGCTTAAGAGAGAAAACTCCTGGACTTTCCTTGTGGAAGAAGCCTGTCGTTCTCAGGGAGGATCTCACTCTCATCTTCGCAGAACGTTGTTCTCCAGTTTTAGCTTTTACTTACTTTTAAGTGGATTTACTGACACATTAAATCTGGGTAAAACTCTCTCCGGCCCTCCTTTGTACGTGCACTGGAGCTTTTGATCAGATGTTACTGTATTCTGTCAGACTGGCTGCTGCTTACTGAGTTAATTATTTTTAAGTGTAAAGTCTTTGCCTTTATTTTAAGTGTGTGCCTTGGTCTTTTTACCTGTGCAATGGAACTGATGAAAATTCCATAAAGAAAGTGTATGTAAAGTGCTAGAAACACCCTGTAGCAACATGAAGAACAAAATCTGAATAATTGATATGTGAAAAGGAACAAGATCTCCTTCCCTGGATAAGTATGGTGTTTATGGATTCCTGGGTGGGTACGCACAAGCCCGCACACAGGCACGTACAATGGATTTCTCCTTTGTGTACTGATGCCTTGCAGGAGGCAAGAGAAAAAGCCAGAGATAGGAGGTCCTCTAAATTGAAAACTACCTCTGTTAAAATATTATAGTGAATCAGGGGAGTTAATGTACTATGCATTTTACATAAATTTCTGAGGAATTGAGAGAGAAATTCCTATAGTGAATGGAAATCAAAACTGCGTCAATCAAGGTAACATGAATTTAGTGAGATCTAATATTTCAAGAGTAGGTTTTCCTTCCTCACTTTTGTACTTTCCAGTTTCAGAAACTTTGAATAGTTTATAGCCTTTAATTGGTCATTCTTTGTCATTATTGCATGAAGCTAGTAGCCACGAAGAGCAATTTTACTATTTCCCAGAACAAGAGACAGATACAAAGCCCAAAGAAGCCCCGTCTGTAAGCATGGCATTCAGACGCTGAAGTCTGGGTAGATCCTAAAGCCCTGCTCAGTCAGGAACCACCTGGGTCTTGAGCAAATCACTGACCATCTGTATGTCTCCAGCTCAGAGCTGTAAAATTGGTATGAAATAGAATCTATTCGAAAGAGCTGTTGTAAGATATAGAATCAAACCCATAAAGCCCACCCTTCCTTCCTTCCTTCTTTTCTTTCTTCCTTTTGGGTGAGGAAGATTTCCTTACATTTATTTATTTGTAAAATTAGACTATTTTGAAAGAGCAGCTGGCTTGGTTTGGTCTGTCTGGTTCACCGTCAGCCTTTGTACACGTGAGGTGTCATGTCGTAAACACTGTCCCCTCTTTGTTAACATTGTTCTTCTTGTTTGTCAATATATCAAGGACATTTTCCTCGACTGCAGCGTAGTTACCATGATTTCGAGGATGGTGTAACATTTCATAGAATGAGTGACCTCTTCCTTTCTGATCCATCCCCTTTAGTGGGGCATTTAGGTTGTATTAAACATGTGGTGAACATAATCATGCATGTAGCTTGAATTTCTTTTGAAAGTTTTCCTGTTGTACAGTCTCAAAAATGCAATTGCTGATTCAAAATATTTTGTGTGACTTTTGACATTACTGCCAATTGATCTTATTGCCACAAGATGTGACCCATCCCTACTGCCACCGGCACGAAATCATGGCCCCGTCTCACTGCCAACTCACCAGAACTAGGAACTGTAATTTAAAATGCTCTTCCCTAGGCTGCAAATGCATCAGATGTTTTGAATTTTGTATGAATCAAGCCTCAAAGGAGGACCTTATGGAAAGATGCTATTAAATTAAAGAATCAGGTAAAGGAGAAAAATGTATCTATATAGATAAATGTTACTAGCCCGGGAATATAGGATCAAAAACCTTTAAAACATTATGTCATTTGTGATTCTTTCAAGGAGTCTTTGGGTCAAAATAAGGGCCGTTGGAATTGAGAGTTTGGTTTCTGAATTGTTCTCATCCTCCCATTCATTGTCTCACTCCTGTTTCACCATAGTTTTAAAATGTCTTATAACCGTCTTCTGTGCATGTGCTTCATTTTCTCCAGTTCACAGAGTTCTCAGGTTTATCAGTAAACGGCCCAAAGCAGACAAGAGTCACAGCATTTTTGCCTCCATTCTCAACACTGTGTGCCCAGTAGTGGCTTCAGAATCTGTCCCAACATCATGAGACATCTTTCCAGAAAACCAAATGGTTTAAGTCGTACCATGAAGTAATTACACCCATTTAATTCCACCACCACAGCTTTCTTAGCCTAAAACATGCCTCACTTGGACATGTGTAAATAAAAACACGAACATGAAGACAAAGGTCCACAGAAAAAGAAAACACATTCGGGCTAAGTGTAAAGAGCTGCTCGAGTTTTTTGGTGACGAATCCTTGGCCGTTTGTTCCTTGTGTTGTCATCTGCTTGTACCCTCACAGACAGGAGGTAGGACACCGCGAAGGTAAAAAGCAAGGCAGAAAAATGAAAGCTTGTGAAAAAAAATCTCTCTGCCATATTAATGTGTTCTGGTGAATTGCGAAATGATCACTTTCCTTTTCGCTGGGACATCTCAATTTTTCTACTGACCTATCTCAGCCTCCCGCGGGAGGCCACATGGATGCCACGTGACGTCATCCTTCCCGGCTCTGCTGCTTCCCCATCATCCCTATTTCTGCCTGGCTCCTTGTCATTTGGTTCACGGGTCCAGTCCCACTGGCCTGGCCTTGGCTTGCTCTCTTGGCCTCCATGGTGGGTTGCAGTGACTTGTGGGTTCTTCCTCTGTCTCATAGCCAGTGTCCATCTGCTCCCCTCACCCCCTATCCCAGGGCTCTCCTGGACCACGGCATTTGTCTCTCGACTTGCTGTATCTTTTCTGACTCCTTTCTGTTCTCGGTTCAAATCTCATCCTCCAGCGGCTGCTCTCCTTAAGCACAAGGCACTCCCTCTGTTCCTTGTCGGTGATGTTGGTGAATGTGTGTAGCTGCACGTGCACAGAACAGGAGGGCACAGCCTTCCCTGCCTCCTTCCAGGGAGCTCCTAGGGTGGAGCTGACTGGCCGCTGTTTAATCCGCCACCAGTTCAATTATCTAACCTTATTAGTCACGTGAACAAGGCTTAAATTGGCTCTACCGTCATCGCAGATGTGCAAACCTAATGGAGTTAGGGGAAGATTAAGGTTTTTCATTTTTACAGAACTTCAGTGTTTTGAACATGTGGCGTAGCCTTGCTTTTTTAGAGCTTGCTGTATGTTTCAGAGTGAGGCTGTTCAGATGCTTCTCCCACTGCTTCCCTCCAGTGCATTAGTCCCAGTGGATACATTGTCTTCTCACTTTCCTTGGCATGCGTCCGATCTTCAAGTCATCCCACCCTACCCTACCCCAATCCCAGAGATCCCAGAGTACTGTCCCCCGTCCCCACCCTACCCTACCCCAATCCCAGAGATCCCAGAGTAGCGCGATTAGCCTGAAACTGAGGACCTTGGGAAATCTCGGGGGGTGTTTTGTTTTGTTTTGTTTTGTTCTTTTCCAAAGGAGAGACCTTATGTGTGACGATTTCAGGATCTGCCCAGCTAGCACGGAGAGGTTTGGGGTCATCCTTGTCTTAGGGCCTCTTACATCATCCAGTGGACATGGAGCCACAAGATGAGCCTTAACTAACGCTTCCCCCATCTCACTGAGATCCCTGCCCCCAGATGAGTACCATTCTGAGTCTTAGCCTCTCTGGGTTTTGCTTCAGAGGAAAAGCATGCCTTTAAATTCTCTCCTAGCACCTTTTTAAGGAAATGCTTTGTTACGTCTTCGGAAAATATAGAACTAACAGCTGAGAATTGCAGCAGATGACTATTTGGGCTCTTAGACCATTCACGAAAATGGGATGGAAAAGGCTCCACGGCACAGTAATATTTTCAGTCACGGAGCTATTTTCTGTCATCTTCGTGAGGGTCAGCAAAATGCTGCATAACTTCCAGAAATTCCTATTTAGTTGTAAAAATATTAGAATGTGAGTAGCCTTTGTTCTGCAATGTTCCCGAGTTCCCGTGAATAATCTCTTCCCACCACCCAGGCTGGTACCTTAAGCAAATAATTGAATAACCCAAGTGGATGCTGACAGCTTCCGCCACTTGGTGGCAAAGCCAATATATTTTGAACGGTAATATGAATGTGAATAAGTTTGGTGGTGATTTTATCTTGTTTATTCTTTTTTTTTAAACATCTTTATTGGAGTATAATTGCTTTACAATGGTGTGTTAGTTTCTGCTTTATAACAAAGTGAATCAGCTGTACATATACATACATCCCCATATCTTGTCTTGTTTATTCTTCAGTTCATTAGGATTTTGTTGATTGGTTTGTTTTTGCTTTCATTTAAAAAATAATACTTGATTCTGTCATTTTGGATGATTAGAGGGGAAATATGGCCCAAAAATTAGGCTTTTATTTCACTGAACCCCAGACCCAAAAGTGGTCCAAGAGGTCATGGAAAATAATACCCTGGACTCAGAGTTCTGATGACATTGAATCCTATTAGCTCTCCAGCAAAGAGATGCCTAGACTCCCATAATCTCTAACCAACAGGACTTACTGTGCAGACTTGTTCCTGGAGTCCACTGTCAGTTAATACAGCCCTAAAGTCAATCCTCGGTCTGGGTTGTATAGCAGTGGGGCACAGCTACACCTGTCCAAGGTGTTGCCAGGTGTAGCAGCCAGTTCCCCTGCCAGGCTGCTGCAGGTCTAGGGCTTGGGACCTCTAGGCTCCTGAGTATTTCACAAAAGCTTCAAGGTCACTGAGCTGCCCGCTTGTTAGACGTAGAAGGATGTGGGGATTTTAGAATATGGGATATGGAGTGCCAGAGATTAATTAAGTGTGTAATTAAGTTTACAGAGTGGTTAAGCAAGAGGAATGCAATATACATCAAAATATTAGTGTGTCTGAGCACAAGGATTAAAGGCTGAGTGATAGATTTGGGGGGATCAGTTACATTTCGGGTGTCAGCATATGAGCCCGGATCCCCACAGGTGTCAGAGAACCAGGCTGCTCTCTGCCAGGCCAGTGCCCTCTTCTTGGCCATGTGATCCACACAGACACAGTTCATTGCCTTTCTCCCCCGCAGCCCCTCCAGTGATGCTAAAGAGAAGGGCATGGTTCTGCAGTGCTGTTGGATTGGACAATTCCAACGGGGGGTGCAGAACCAAAGAGCATCTAATTTCCCGAGCTCTCTAATACTACGGGGTGGTCTAAAACCATGGTCCTACCTCCAGAACCTTGTGAGAAGCTTTTCTTAAAAAACAGAGAGTAGGGCAAAGTGCACCCATACAGGCAGACCCAGGAGATATTGTAGGTTTGGTTCCAGACCACCGCGATAAAGGGATATCTCAATAAAGCGAATCACATGAAGTTTTTGGTTTCCCAGTGCATATAAAAGTTGTTTACGCTATACTGTAGTCTCTTAAGTGTGCAATAGTATTATGTCTAAAAAAGCAATACTTTAATTAAAAATACTTCATTGCTAAAAATTAAAAACTACTTTATTGCTGAAAAATGCTAACCATCATCTGAGCCTTCTGCTAGCTGTAAAGGCTGCTGGAGGGTTTGAAATATTGCAAGAATTACCAAAATATGACATAGAGACACAAAGTGAGCAAAGGCTGTTTGAAAAAGGGCACCAGTAGACTTGCTCAATGCACAAACCTTCAATTTCTAAAGGCACAGTAATGCAAAGCGCAATAAAAAGAAGCATTCCTGCACCCAGGATTATTTGCGAATAATTTAGGGTTATTTAGGTTATTATTTAGGGTTATTAATAAAGGGTTTCGAAAGAAACCCTTTCGCTAATGCACTAAGCTGACCGCGGTCCTAGAGCTCAGCTTTCTCCCAGCTCTTGGTAACCTCTAAGCGCTTTACCCATGTGGTGAGTTATTTGTGCAAACCTTTCCATCCTGGCCCTCCATTGCTCTGACATAACCCCAGATCTCTTCTGTAAATGTGTCCCTGGATGCCTGGAGAATGCAAGCCTGGTTTTTATACACTTATAAATGCATTATAGCAAGAATGGTAAATCTAAGCCCCAACAGAAATGATGCATTCCAAACCAAGGAGAACTGGCTTTTGGATTATCCACTGCTGAGACCCTTCACCCCATGATCTCCTAAATTGGAGCCAATAACCCATGGTTCACAGTGGCACTGAGTGGTGAAAGCAATGGTTCTAAGTTAATTGAATTAACGATGATGTTAGTACATTACCCCTGAGAGCATGGCTCCCTCCACCCCCGACCCAGACATCCTCCACTGTGTTCAACTTAATACCAACCTTCTGAAAAGCCCTATCTACGTGGCCTCTTGTGTTTCATATTCTCAGAGGGCTGCTGGTATCAGATGCTTAGGGACGCTCTGCTCAATATTTTAAGTTGGACACCCTGTGGATCTTTTCGAAGCAATATTAGTGTTTCAGGAAAGAGAGGAAAAGATAATGATTTTGCTTATCACATGAGTGAGCCTCTGCTACCTTTTGAGCAACACAGTAAACCCTTGCTAATTTTATCCTAACCATAGAGAATCCTTTTGCAAATTACCAGACAGCATACATTTACAAGTAAGATAATAAGCATAATTTTTATAAAACCAGCTCTCCTCTCTCAGCAGAGTTACTTTCTCCAATTTATTTGGACAGGATCATTTAATCCTGATTATGATAACAGTTCACAGCACAGGAGCAAACTGATTCTAGTGTATTCTGTAAAAATTAACGAAGGCCCTAGAATTCGAGGCTGGCTGCAGATCTGTGGAATTGAATCCTTGCTGATAAACGGAATAGAGTTGCCAGGTGTTTGTGCAAATTACAGAGTTTAGACTAGAGGTTAGTAAAATTAGAATCAGCTGTGTTCTTCTGATTTACTTATCATTCATCCGCTCTTTTTAGAAAACGTTAAATTCATCAGTCAAAATTTGATAAGCAGCATATACTTTAAGGAGCTGGAGCTTCCTTTATTGCCCTTGTTTGTGACAGTGAGGTTTGTGTGGAAGCAGAGAAAACATGCCATTTCCAGAAAGTAGAGCCTCCAAATGCAAATACCGTCTGATTAACTAGAGATGAGCAATTTGAAACGCCAGTGTGTGCTTGCCAATGTTAGGGTAAGGTATGTTTTTTTCTTCATTCTCTAAGCCTTCTTTGTTGTATGCTCCTTAAACGTGTGTGGAATGGAATCATATGTTTTAATTAAATTTAGTCTTATTTTGTGTCTCGATTATTTCTTCTGAAGAATCAGCACTCACCACTTAATATTTGGCATTCCCATCATGGAAAATGGGGCTGCCAACGTTTGGTCTAGTGGCAAGCCATCTCTCTTGTGCTAGTTTCCAAGAAGAACCGCCTTTTGCAGAATTTTTTTCTGTAAGGAACAGAGTAATAGCGGGTTAGTATCCAAAGGTTGTTATTATATAGTAAAAGTCCTTATCATGAGACCTCAGGTGAACAAAAAGAAAGCAACTCATGCTTTCTTCTTCAACAGAACTATGATTTTTTCTCTGTTCCTAAAATCCCTGAACTTAAGCCCAACAGAATCAAAGAGGGTGTTTATTTGTGGGGGGAGGCAACGGAGCAGAGAATTGCAGGGATTCACTGAAGTCCTAGTTTTTGTAATGTTGCTGAGTCCTTGATGTCAAGCAAGAATCAATACTTCTCTCCAGTCCTGCTTTAAGCCTCTGTTTCATCTGTAGCGTGATGAAATTGTGGCTTCAGGCAGCGTGCCCCAATCAAGGTCATGCTCTGAGGCCCCTCCTTGGGTCTCACCAGCCCCCTTGCCTTCTGCTTCCCAGGGTCCACAACCAGCTGACACTGCAGCAGCTGTGCCCTGGGTCCCCAGTGCAGTAGACGGTGCCTGGTGGACCTGTTACAAGCACTTCGATGAATGTGTTCACCACTTGGCTTGTGTGGCCAAGAGAACAGGTTGTGTCTTAGCAACCTACTGGCCCACTCCTTTGGGGCCCTATTCAGTCCTCCCCAGCTTCAGTTTAACACCAACTCTATCCAATATATTTATGTGCACATAGCACATTCATACCATTAGAGCATCCATCTCAGGTGCTATTCTAGGGGTTGGGAATACAGCAGTGACCAAGAGAGAAGAAAATTCTTTCTCTCACGCAGCTTAAATCCTTAAGGGATCCGAGTAATAGTTGCCTGGGGAAGCAACGTCTGAGCATGTATTTCATAGGGATCCCACTAGAGATGATCATACAAAGTGAAATAAGTCAGAAAGAGAAAGACAAATACCATCTAATATCACTTGTATGTGGAATCTAAAATATGACACAAACCTATCTACGAAACAGAAACAGACTCATAGACATAGAGAACAGACTTGAGAGGGGTGGGGGAGGGAAGGATTGGGAGTGTGGGATTAGCAGACGCAAACTATTATATAGAGAATGGATAAACGAAAAGGTCCTACTGTAGAGCACGGGGAACTATATTCAATATCCTGTGATAAACCATCATGGAAAAGACTATGGAAAAGAGTGTCTATATATATGTATGACTGAGTCACTTCGCTGTACAGCAGACATTAACACAACACTGTAAATCAACTATGCATCGATAAAATCTTTTAAAAAAAGGGATCCCAGAGACCCTTGCATACATGCCATGGTCTGCTTGCTTTCTGAACCCTGAATTCAGCTGTTGTTTCCTTCAATTCCTCCTTTGCCCATCTTCTTTCAGTTCAGTGTGGGTCCCTCCATCTCTAGGTAACTAAAGCTCTTGCAGCCCCTTCTTCCTACCAGGTCCACATCTGTGAGTAACTGCAGGACCCCCTTGCAACAGGGGCACTCACCTGGCCAGAGTCCCAGTACTGAGGTGGCTCTGAATTCTGCCAGGGATGGGGGACTGGGCAGCGAGGTTGGGGATGCATGTCCATCATTATTGCGGTAGTTATTTCCAGCCTGATCGGCCATGGGGTCCATGACCTCTGTGAAAACATTTTAGAGAGTCTCTCTTGTCCAGAATTTAGAGTTTTCTTGAAACCATGAGATAGAGAGACCATCAGTTGTGAGGATCCTTTCCCACCATGATATTCTGAATCTCATCAGAAGCTTTGGGGAATTCGAAGAAGGGCCTGGGATGGACCTTTTTGAGGTGCCTGCTGGTCTGTCTGAAAGGCATTTCCCCTCTTGCTTTTTATTCTGTTTCTCACCCAGAGTGAGATGTTTCACTGGGATCCATCAAGGAGTGGCAGGGAAGTGGCCCTTTCCCTGTTTTCAGATTGCAGAGAACTCTGTGGGCAAGTGACACAGCATCTGTTCTTTTCCAAGAACCAAGGAGCTATTTTAACCGTTACTTGTTCATAAAGATGCCGTTTGGGATGTTTTTTCATATTGCTCCTTGATTTTTCTTCCCTACAGTTTCCTTGTCTGTCTTTCTCTGGCTCTTTCTCCTGTGATCAGAATATGCATCAAGGCTTCATTAACCACGGAAGGAAATGAAAGATTCCCCCTGTGACAGGGGCTCATCAGAAACCCCCAGGAGTTCAGGAAGGACAACTCTTAGAGATCAGGCTTCAAAGGTGTAGGGCAACTCTCCGATGATGATCTCTCGGCGATTTATGTATTATTGACGCTCACGTCACGAAATGAAATATCCACCATGCTGATAATTTACGCTTTCTCTGTTTAATTGTAGTTTGAAAATGAGATCATCACCAAGCTGGATCATGAAGTGGAAGGAGGTAGAGGCGATGAGCAGTACAAAGTGTTATTTGATAAAATGTAAGTGTTGATTAACAGTGGGATTTATGTCAGAATAGAGACAGAGAGACTGTAATTAGACGACAATGAACTTTGTAGCCCAGAAATAATTAAAAAGTGTTAATAATGGAAAATATTTTAAATTGCACCTCAGTCAAGTTTCTTTTCCCGAGTGTGATTAACAAGGTGTGTGTAATTATTTTTCAGTCTCTTAGAGCACTGCAGGAAGCACAAATACCTTGCCAAAACGGGAGAAACTTTTGTAAAGCTCGTCGTGCACCTGATGGAAAGACTTCTGGATTACAGAACCATCATGCATGATGAGAACAAAGAAAATCGCATGAGCTGCACTGTCAACGTGCTGGTGAGTGAAAAGTTAAATACCTGGTCTTCCCAGGAAGCCGGAGGTTGAACCAGAAGTTCAAAGCCTTGTGAAAGCTGTGGCCACGGAGCTCTGCAGAGCAGGACACAGCCTGTTTCCTTGGCTGTGGGAGGGAAGGAGGAAGGAAGAACTGTTTGCGTATCTGCTTTAAGCACGTCAGCAAAATCATCTTCCTTCTGGGTGTTTTCACACTGTTCTTCCCCTGGTTCAGAATGATGAGCCATCTTATTTTGTAAGCAGGGGAGCGCCCTCACCGATTACAGATCCTAAATGTTTCATTACTAGGAGACTGTAAACATGTCCCGTAGTGGGTCAAATGGTGGCCTCTGAAAGGTCACACAGCCTCATCCTCAGAACCTGTGAACGTGACCTTGTTTGGAAAAACATGCTCCTAGCAGATGTGATTAAGTCAAAGATCTTGAGATGAGACCGTCCTGGATTACCCAGGTGGGCCCTCAATCCGATGACAAGTATTCTTTTCTTTTTCTTTTTGTGGTACGCGGGCCTCTCACTGTTGTGGCCCCTCCCGTTGCGGAGCACAGGCTCCGGACGCGCAGGCTCAGCAGCCATGGCTCACGGGCCCAGCCGCCCCACGGCATGTGGGATCCTACCGGACCAGGGCACGAACCCGTGTCCCCTGCATCGGCAGGCGGACTCTCAACCACTGCGCCACCAGGGAAGCCCATGACAAGTATTTTTATAAGAGGCAGAAAAGGAGAAGACAGAGACCCAGAGCAGAAGACCACGTGAAGAGAGGGGCAGAGATGGGAGTGATGTGGCCACAAGCCAAGGAACACCTGGAGCCACTAGACGCTGGAAGGGGCAGGAAGGAAGCTCCCCTAGTCCCTTCAGAGGGCATGTGGCCCTGCTGACCCCTGGGTTTCAGACTCAGGCCTCCAAAACCGAAAGAGAACGCAGAGCTATTGTTTTAAGTCCTGGAGATTGTGGTAATTTGTTATGGCAGCCATAAGAAACTCGTGTGTGGCCACGTGATGGCTTGGGTGAACTTGACCACCGCCATCCACTGGTGTCTTGCAGAGCTGCTATCACTGTGATATGGTCAGGCTCTGTGGACATCGGTTTTTGACGTAGTTGTGGTACGTCAGGAATGCTTCAGGGCGATGAACTTCTAGGAAGCTTTACGACAAGCTCAGCTGCAGGGCATGGCTGGTTGGCCTCGTGGCTCTCAGGAGCCACGTGACCACAACATCTGACTCCAGAGCTCTCTGCATCTCTCTGCATCTTCCGCCCCTGCTGCTTCCTAGAAGCTAGATAAGCAGACTCCTGGCCCTGGTAGTGTTTTCCTCAATTTCCCCCGCCTGTCCCAACGCAGGAATGCAAGGAAACACTGTGCCTGGTTTCTTCTCTTTCCTTCTCTGGGGTGTCCTCACCACCACCTGGTTGTTGGATAGCGGGTGGTTGCCCTGCCCTGACTTCCCCCATTTGTACGGACTTGTAGGCGGTTTGAGCTTATGGGAGTGGACTTTTGTGCCAGGAGGAGCAGGCCCCATCATTCATTGTTGAAAATCACCAGAGATGTTTGGATTAAAAAGATAAACAAAAAGGAATATTTTTCACCTTCCATCTACTTCATTGTCAACACCGAATCTGAGCTTTGCCACGACGAGCCGGCCGCTGAAACTTCCAGAGCAGGTTTTTTTTGTTTTATTTTTTTTCCTTGCAAATCTAAACATGGGGCACTTCTGGTTTCTGGTCCAGTATGTAAAAGGGGCTTGGAAGTCGTTACTCTATCCTCACCACAAGAAAAAAGCTGGCAAACTGAAAATCAACAACTCTTCTTCGATCCACAGGGAAAACGCCTGCTCCCAAAATTGTGATACGGAGAATCACAGCCTCCCGGAGCAGAAACTAGCACTGGAGCCGGTACTGGACTCCTTTTACCCAGTACATCATGGCCACTTTCAACATAAAATAACAAGGTGTCTTAAAGGGAAAAAAAAGATGCAGTTTGAAGAGACAGGACATCACAGCTGGACTTGGACATGGCTTTAGAGGTTTTAGAATTATCAGACTGGGCACTTAAAATGACCATGATAAATATGCTAAGGGCACTAATAGAAACAGTAGACATTATGGAAGAACAGGTAATATAAGCTGAAAGATGGGAATTCTAAGAAAGTATCAAAGAGAAAATGCTAGACACTTGCAGAATGAAGAATGCCTTTGGACTTATCAATAGACTGGACACGGCTGAGGAAAGAATCGGTGAGCTTGAAACATCTAAATATGTTTGCATGTGCATCATAAGGGTCGGGGGCCACTGTAGGAGTTACTGGCGTCCATCCCTGAGATCTGGCCCACTGGCTATGTTTGCCTCTCCATCCACCTGTAGCCTGACTGTGCTAGGGCGGCAGCGAGCTCTGCCCCAGGTAAGGGCCTCGACCCTTTGCTCAGGAACGAGCCTGGCTCTTGCTCTGTTGTCTTCCTGCATTCTTGCCTCTGTCTGTAGGAATTTATTTTGATGATGCCAGTGTGGTTAACACGAAGTAGAAATCAGTGCCTTTCTGCAGGAGAGAAACAGAAACCTTTTCAAAAACATTCCCTACCACGGACATACTTTTCTAGTGCTACCTCTGAGGTTTAAGGGGACCCAAAAGGCCCATTTGTGTCCAGAAGGAAGAATTATTATTATGTCGATTAGGTTTCCAGCTTTGATGCTTGACTACTGTTTGTTTCAAGCAGGATCTTTCATGCTCACCAGGATGCAAAACCTAGTGGAGAAATGGTGACAGGCTCTGAATGGGGCCTTTTATCAGAATCAGACTCAGAATCAGAATCAGAATCAGGGTCAGAAAAATAAGGTCCTGTGAGGACACCTGAGATCATAGTTCCTGACGTTATGGTGTGTTCCTCTCTCATCCTGAGATTATCGGACAACATTCACTTCCTTCAGCTTGAAACATCCTGAATCATTCTAGGAAGAGTCAAGCATTCTATTCTTAACTGTTTCCTGGGGAGGATAAGATGGATCCCAGACTATCACAATTCTTTCATTTAAAAAATAGAGATCTGTGGATTACAGAGAACAAAAATGGATTTTTACAGATAGATGTTCTGTCTCTTAATATTCACTGCCAAGAACATTTCATCATATAAATATATTTCTAACTTCCGGGCCCATTTTTACCTTTTCTCCTGGTACTTTTCTTGTGAAACAAATAGAGTTTCATAGAACTGAATGTGTCTATCCATCTCTAGATGAGTATGTATGTATAAACATACATCTAGAAACATATAAAATGTACTCAACTGATCACTAAGCAGAAATCCCCTTGAAATCCTAAGGTTAAAAAATAAAGAACGTAAGATTTATTCATCAATAAATAAATGTAAGCTCATTGCAAAATTTCCTTTAAAACCAGTGCTATTTTTTTTTTTTTAAATAGAGTTAGTGGAACGTTCTAAGTTGTGTGGGCTCATTAATGTCCTACTCCTCCTATCACTTAAAAAACAAATTAAAATTAAAAAATGAGAGACAGGGGCTGTGATTCTGCCCAGCGGCCTAGTCCTTTAGATGTACCTCTGCAAGCAAGTCTGCATGTGTGCTGGATCATGGTTCCCACTAGGCAAAATGCGTATTTGTAATTAAGTGGAATTTCATCGTCACCTCATAATCATGCAATCTTTAATTACTGGTTCATGATTTGTTGTGTGTCACCTGGCTCTTCTATGCAATTATCAACATATTCATACCCAAGAATGGTAGAATCATTGTTTTACAGACATAAGTTAGGTCCTTCATGGCCCCTTTACAGGCTAATGAAGGTGGTTCCAACTAGAATTCTAAGACTCTTAGGATGTGTCTTAGTTATGAAGGAGTACAAAATTGAAATACAGTGAAAATGCTTGCACTCTGAAAGATCAACGCATAGCACTGGACTGGAATTGGAGACCCAGTCCCAATAGGATTGCTTGGACAGATGTCAGCCCTGGTGCGGAGAGGACCACGGGGGGTGGGAGGATGCCCGCAGAGCCCAGAAGTGGGGCACCGAGCAGTGTGAACTTTTACATAAAGAAAGAAAAAGTTTTATAAAGAAATTGGGATTTGAGATGAATGTCCTTCAGTTCTAGGGAGGCTTTGAAGTCCTAGGCAGGGAATAGAACGCAGAGCAGGCAGGGAATAGAAGACACTTCCGTATCTCGGAGAGAGGGAGGAAAGTCGCATGATATCCCCGTTGTGAAATTGTAGAGGAGAATGATCAAAAACTTAGGAAAGGATTAAAAATAGTGCAGAAGAGGGTGGTGTGAAATCGTAGCGTGTAAATACTGGTGAGTTGGAAGTGAAGGGCTCATCCTCTGCCCTTGATGTAGGTTCCCTTTGTTACATCGCTCCGAGCCGTCAGCTGAAAATATCCTCATTACCCAGACACAGCACACGAACCAGAGGACACGCAAATCTCAGGTGCTGCAAAATGTGAAAATCTCGGTGCGTCTTTCTAAACGCGCCCCCGCTTACTCTCTGCATTTGGTTATGATTTCTTTTCGGAGAGATCAATTGTGGAAGCAGTGTCTTTCTTTGGCTAATGAAATGAAACAGGCTGTTTCATCTTCTTGGGTAATGGCATGCCTTTATGATGGTGCTATTCACTAGTTATCTCAGGCCCCCATTCTAGAGTTCTGACATGGTGCGCAGGTGCTAAATTTCACATTGAAAGCGGCAATGGTGTTTCCATACCTTAGGCCTTGTTAGGTGACTGTTCTGCGCCTTTCTGGTGCCTCGTGAACGATAAAAGATTTTAGAGTGTTTATAGAGATTTCACATTAAGAAATGTAATTGTAATAGAAATATTTATGCCCATCCTGAAAATAGTTTACAATATGTAGAATTAGCCTATTGTTGATAATCTGCTAACTAACCTTCCTCTATCAGTGCTGTACACGAGGTGTTTTTTAAGCAGCAACCAGTTTTCTTACTGTGCTTTGGAAGGCCTGTCTAGAACAGCGCTTTCCGATAGAAGTTTCTTGATAATGGAGATGCTCTGTATCTACACTATTCAAGACAGTAGCACTGGCTCCATACGGATATTGAGCACTCAAAAGTGTGTGGCAAGTGCAACTGAGGAAGTGAATTTTTAACTTCATTCAATTTGAATTAAATTGACTTTCTATTTGAATACATGCGCCTCGTGGCTACTGTGTTGGACATCAGGTCTGCAATGCCACGTCGCCTTCTTGTGGCTCTTGGTAAGTGAGGCTAGACCCAGCATGCTTTGAATCATGTTGATGATGCTTATTCCAAAATTTTTCGTTTCGCTTCTAATGAGATGACAATGGTTAAGAATGGTGAAGAGATCATGTCTTCCGGTAATCCTTTGTTTTAACTGAAAACAGGTGACTTTCAAATGACAGAAGTAGATTTAAGCCATCACAACGTTTATTTTATTTTTTAATTTTTAAAAATTTGTTGCCAAGCATGTTTTCTGTTTCCTTTTTGTTTTACTGAAATAGAGTTGATTTACAGTGTTGTGTTAGTTTCGGGTATACAGCAAAGTGATTCAGGTCTCTATATATCTGAATATATAGATTCTTTTCCATTATAGGTTATGACAAGATATTGAGTATAGTTCCCTGTGCTGTACAGTAGGTTCTTGTTGGTTATCTATTTAGATGTGATTATATATATATATACAATGGAATATTACTCAGCCATAAAAAATGAAATAATGCCATTTGCAGCAACATGGGTGGACCTAGTTATTATCATACTAAGTAAGTCAGATGGAGAAAGATATATGATACCGTTTAAATGTGAAATCTAAAAAAATGATACAGATGAACTTTTTTACAAAAGAGAAATAGACTCACAGATTTAGAAAACAAACTTATGGTTACCAAAGGGGAGGGGGGCGCAGGGATAAAATAGGAGTTTGGGATTAACATATACACGCTACACTGTTTAAAGTATAGGAAATTTATTCGTTAGAATCACCCCCCGCCAGCCAAAAAAAAAAAAAAAAATGAAGAACAGTGTAAGGTGTTTTTGCATTTTATGTGAATTTATGGTTCATATTCAAAGATCTGGGTCCATTTGGCTGTGTTTGACACAAGTTGAAGAACTGGATTTTTAATATGTATGTGACACCTTTTATAGAACAGGTTTCTTAAAACAGTGTTGTGGTTTGATTTTTCAGAATTTCTACAAAGAGATTGAAAGAGAAGAAATGTATATAAGGTATGTGAGCATCTGGCTCGTCTGCACCCTCGACCTGTTTACAATAATTGCTGTTTGTCAAGTCCATGCTAAAAAGTGTTTTATAGCCACAGGGGTTGATCTTGTAGGAAATCGTGAAGGCTAGAGTTTGAATTTGGTGGAGCTCCCAGAAGTATCGTCAGGCCTGGTGCAGTTTGTCCGTGCCGATGCGGAGATTTGGGGTGGGGGGCATCCTTAGCCAGCTCAGAAGAAAATTATTATTTCACAGGGTTTTTATTCCTTTTGACTGACCCTTATGGCCCTTTAGAAAAAAGGCACTGCCACAAATTTTATTGTTTCACAGTAAGCCATATGATCAAATGAGAAGTCCAGTCTTAACTTTATCAGAAATAAGGCAATAGTATAAATTTTCAGTCTCTTCTTACCTGGGTACCAAATTCCCAAGTTTCATACTTTCTTCTGGATTTTTCTCCTTCACTTGCCTTTTTCTCTAGGGTGGTGGGCTATGATTGGTACCCTCTTCTTCTTGGTCACTCTTAGGGGCCAGTGTCAAATTTTAGCAAGATTACCACTTACGAGACCAGAATAATTATATAATCCACGTGGCATTAGAGTTTAATGATGAATCTTAGTTACATTAAGCATTATTTTCTTTCTTTTTTTGTTAAGTCCCTAGCGTATTTATTTGTATAAAGAGCAAACAAAAACATGATTTTCTAACTTTTGATTTCTAAGGCTTTTTAACTTTGTCCTTTAAAAACAGTACCATGTGAATATAATAAAGCTTGAGGAAAACAATCAGTTTCTTTTATCCAAAATGTAGGCTGTGGTGGGAGGGAGAGAGATGCAAGAGGGAAGAGATATGGGGATATATGTATATGTATAGCTGATTCACTTCGTCATAAAGCAGAAACTAACACACCATTGTAAAGCAATTATACTCCAATAAAGGTGTTAAAAAAAAAGTGTATACAAAAAAAAATGTAGGTTGCTCTATATTAGAAAAGCAACTTTTATTTCTTTATGGCAGAGGAATTCTTTTGATCACATTCGCTGTGATCATTGGAGCTCTTTATTCTTATGGATTTGTATTTTTATGGATTTTGTGTGTGTGTATATTTGGACTCAATAGAAATGTAAGAAATCACAATCAAACATTGTGTACTCTCATTTCAACTGCAAGAAAGAAAACTCTGGAAAAGATGAGAAAGAATGAGAGACCTTGAAGTATAATTCCACCTCCTTGTGCCACCTTCAGTTTTGTCCTGAAAAGAGAGGACTTAAATTTAAGAAATATATCTACTGTGTATTACTCTGGTTGGTTTTTCTTAGTGCTTCATGTACCAGAAGCTTCCAAGGCATTATTCATTGTGAAGATTGTAAAAAGAAAGTATAGAGATGATTTACTGTTGAAGGTAGAATTTAGCTCTTGCAGTTCTCAACACAAATTATTTGGGGATGCTTTAAGAATGTACCTATGTTTTATCGTCTCAGGTATTTGTACAAGCTCTGTGACCTGCACAAGGAATGTGATAACTACACTGAAGCAGCCTATACCTTGCTTCTCCATGCGAAGCTTCTGAAGGTAGTAAAACTTACCATATACTTTCATGATCCTGTCATTATAAATTACAAGATCATTTAACTTTTGATTTTTCCATGACAAATTTCAGTAAACCTAGAACTTAAGATTTTATGGATGTTGACTCAATGCAGTGACATAAACAAAGATAGTTAAGAAGTACTTTGATTATAGATTTGGCTCTCCTGAATGCAAATTGGACAAGATGTCAGAGCAAGTTATCACTGAGCATCTTAAACACCCATGATTGGTCTGCCAGCAGTGAGTTAGAGATTCTGTGATTCCTTATTCCTGCCAACAGGACCCAGTAATGCCGGAGGGCGACCTCAATAAGAAGGAACTTCTGTGGTACAATAGCTAAGAGAGAGGATGAGCCCACCTCTCATTATTTTATCAAAGAGTGTAGGGACCAGATCATGACTTTTCTCTCCGTGCGTTCTAAGCGGTTCCATCAAGATCTCCTGTTGGTCCATCAGTTCATGTTGGACTTCCTGCCTGATTCTCCTGGGGGATGTTACCCCTCAGCATAGGTCTGACATGACAGCTTTCAGCTCTCAGTGTCCTTTTGTTATTCAGATAGCTTTGGACATTGCTCTGTGTGTGTGTGTGTGTGTGTGTGTGTTGCCATAATATATTCATGCTCTCCCCATGTCCATTTTATTTTCAGCCCAGTTAGTCATACAGAGTGGACCCACAGTAAATAACTGGGTGGTTGTTTGTATTGATGGGTGGCAAGATGGATGTGTGGGTGGATGGATGGATGTGTGGATGGATGGATGGATGGATGTGTGGTTGGATGGATTGATGGATTCATGGATGGATGGATGTGTGGATGAATGTGTAGGTGGATGGATGTGTGGGTGGATGGATGGTTGTGTGGATGGATGGACGGATGTGTGGGTGGATGGATGTGTGGGTAGGTAGGTGGATAGATGAGGGAATTTCCCGTGTTAGGCAGTGAATCCCCAGCAAGAATCTTCTAGCCCTTGGCCCAGTCCTGAACTCTCCAGTAGCTTGTGTGATATGCATACTCATAAGCTGCTTTAGGGACACTGGAGTGTGGAGATTGACCTTTGCCTGAAAACAAGAGTCCTTTATAAAGAAAACACAATGAGACTGTTTTCAATCTGAATGCCTCATCCATAGTCATCCATGGTACCCTTTTGGCTTTTCACCATATAAAGCTCTCCTAAGGACTGTCATTTATGAAGATAGAGTTATCAGTTGGGGCATCTCACACCAGACCTCCCACTTTGAATTCTAATGGCTTTCATTTGTTAGAAACCCAAATTTTAGTAACAAGGTGATTTTGAAACTACGAAGATATATCTTTTACACCAGGGAAATTAAAATGGGCTTGACAAGCTGCTTGGTCACCCTTACTCTCTCTCACAGTACATAAACTTTTCTACGGGCATGTGAATGTAAAATAGATATATGTGTATGAAACATCATTTGTTTAATCATTGCACTTACTGAGCACAGACGGGGTTATCACAAATGGTACAAGGATGTTTCACAACCCAAATCAGTTGGCCCAGTTGCATTATCATTTCCACTGGGGTTTTGAATTTTCCAGTTAGATGCCAAATAATTGCTCTCCATATCTTTTACATCATTACATTTTGCAGTTTGTCCTAAATATGTTTTGATATTGCAGAAAATGTGAATTCATGCTGGTTAATCAACATACTAAAGAACGTTACTTGTATCTTTATGAAAATTCTTCACCATGATTGATATATTCTTGTTCATTGAGTAAAAATCCTCAAATAGGGTCTTCTTTTTTTGGTTAAGGCTATTTTGTAAAAAAAAAAACAAGGGCAATAAAAACATCAGCCTTTCGCCTAGCAATCAAGTCATTTCATCTCATTGTTTAAGTGGAAGGTATAAAGGAGTTTTGCTTCTCCATTCAGTATTTTTTTAGGTGATTTTAAACTCCAAGGAAGTTATTTGGCATCCAAACTTTCTTATTCTTATTTATCTTATTGTAGTTACGTTTCAGAATCATGTAAAATTTTACTTTTACCCTTATAAAAGTAGAAATCTGGCCATGTGGTGAAAATGCCACAATTAATTGAGTTTGTAACTCCCAGTTATGGTTGGCTACGCACTTCTCCTTTGAAGGTGAAAGGATTTGCAGCAGCGTAAAGGTTTCTCACTCTTCCTTGACACTCCAGGTGCCGGAGAGCCCATCTGGCCCCATAGCCCTTTCACCCTGTTCTTTGGAGCCCTGGAGTCCAGCACGGAGTGCTCCAAACCTCTCTGGCTTCGGGAAGGTGGGAGGGGGTGTGTGCTGTGAGAGCCCACCTCTTAGGGAGCCTTGCACTTTTGCAGGCCTGTCCCTCGGGGCCTTTGCCCTCTGCCCCAGTGGTTCCTGTCCATTTGTCTTGCCCCCTAAAATGTGGCACCACAGCTGGTCCCATTGCTCCAGATGTGGCCTGGCCAGCCCTGAGTCCAGTGGGGGACACCCACGCCCACCCCCCTGTGGTCCAGGCAGCCTGCAAGTCCACTGCTTTCTTGGTAGCATCCTCACTGTCCTGTCTTAAAACAGGGTCAAGACCCACCTCCTGAGTCCAGCTGACGAGTGAGCCCATCCTGATTCTTTCCTCCGAGGAGCCTCTGCAGAAACCCTCGTCCTGCCTCCCGCCCTTAAATTGCCCATGAAATCTTTTCTGCAGAGTTATTATATACCACTGTGCTCTAATTTGTAATGGCACTCTCTCTGGGGCAGGTATCTTCTGACTCATCTTTGACCTGGTGCCTTGCACATAGTAGGTCCCCACCAAATATTGAAGTTTATTGAACCCTATATTTAGTGCCGTTGATTTCTTGAGCATAAGTTTAGGAGTTTAGGTGTCAAATGAGCTTGCCTTCACTTCGATGCATCCTTCCTTCATCCCATAAGTCCACTGTCACGTCCACAAACACTGGCCGAGCCCTGCCTTTGCGACAGGCAACATGCCTAGAGCTGAAGATCCCAAGACGCCTCCCTGTCTGTAAGCAGCTTTCTTTACGACCTGTAAGTGGAATCCATGTGCCTTCTGCTGTTGATTAAAATGTTGAGCAGCACAGGACTGAGGCCGCCGCCCAGGGATGCCCCACTTGAGGCAGCCACAGATCACCCGGTTCCTCATTCTTCTGGAAGGTTCCAAGGCATCCTAGGCAAGCTGACAGTTCTGTGCTGTCCAGAACCTGCCGGGTTTCTCTTCTGTGTGAATGTAGACCCAGCTTTGCCTTCTTCTTTCTTTCACTCGTCTTGAGGCCTCTGCACAGAGGTTCTGCCCTCAATTCCAGACCCGGCAGCCTGATGGCAGCAGCTCCAGTGACTCCCGGAATCATGGCCCGAGTGCCCACACTGAATTCAGGGCTTACTGTGTGCATTCTGACCTGACGGTAGGGAAACGGTAGCCCTGGCCGTGCCCTCACCTGGCACTGCTTACGCTTTGCTTTTGCCTCAGTGGTCGGAGGACGTGTGCGCGGCCCACCTCACCCAGCGGGACGGGTACCAGGCGACAACACAGGGACAGCTGAAAGAGCGGCTCTACCAGGAAATCATCCACTACTTCGACAAAGGCAAGGTAAAAAAAAAAGCAAATTTTCTGGTGTTTTCCTCTGTGTGTGCACCTTCTTGCAGTGTTGTAAACACATTTTTTAACACATGGTGTTTGTGGTACCAGAAATTTGTTACAGATTGTGTATCTGAAGGTTTTATGCAGGGCCCTCCCGCTGGCGCTTCTAAGTAGAAATCCTACCAAAGATAAAAATCAATCGCCCTTTTGTAGATGCTCTGCTGAAAGTTAGAACTGAAAAGCACAAGTATTTTCATAGTCCTTGCCAGAGAGAATCCAGGCTGGGACACTGATTTGGGGGAATTTCTGGCTACGTTAGAGCTAATGCTTTCCTTTGACAGTTTGCGTTTTCCTGTTGTCACCAAACTATTAATCCCATGGCAAGACCAATATCACTCATGTCGGTGGCCTCTCCATTAACTGGCTCAAACAAAATTATTTAATCTGTTGACTTCTACTAAAAGGAAACCTGCCATCATTTTAATCAGCCAGTCATAGGTCTCATCACTGTAGTTCATGTGATTCAGATAAATAGTAACTATTAATAAAAAAGGGGGGCTTCCCTGGTGGCGCAGTGGTTGAGAGTCCGCCTGCCGATGCAGGGGACGCGGGTTCGTGCCCCGGTCCGGGAGGATCCCACATGCCGCGGAGCGGCTGGGCCCGTGAGCCATGGCCGCTGAGCCTGCGCGTCCGGAGCCTGTGCTCCGCAACGGAGAGGCCACAACAGTGACAGGCCCGCGTACCGCAAAAAAAAAGGGGGGGGGGCTTCTTCAGTTAAGAAGTTTTTAAAATCTGCCACCAAAGTGGCTTCTAAGCTCATTCTGTGCCTTCCTTGGGATTCTTAACTCATCTCAGTTACCAGCCTTTTTTCGTTGATTTTTTTTTTTTTTTACCTTTAGAAAAGTTACCAAAGAATTCCACGACGGTACCTGTATTTGTTTCTTAGGGCTGCGGTAACATAGGCCTACCCACTGGGCAGGAATCTGTTCTCTCACAGTTCTGGGGGCTATAAAACCAAAGTCAGCGTGTCGGCAGGGCCGTGCTCTCTGAGAGAGAATGATTTAAGGGGAGAATCTGCTTTCTGCCTCTCAGTGTCTGTTGATGCCGGCAGTCCTTGGCTTGTAGATACATCACTCCAGTTTCTGCCTCCGTATTCATGTGGCTTTTTCCCTGTGTGTCACTGTGTCCAAATCTTCCTCTTCTAAGAGCACCGATTATTGGATTTAGGGCCCACGCCATCCAGTGTGACCTCATCTTAACTTGATTACGCCCAAAGACCCTGTTTCTAAATAAGGTCACATTCACAGATACCAAGGGTTAGGACTTCAACATATCTTTTGGTGGGGGGACCCAGTTCTACTCCCGGCAGCACCCATATCGGGAAAGGATGATGGCTGACCCTTTTTGTGGTTGTCGACATAAATCAAACCCTTTTGAAGAGATCATGTGTGTTTTATTTATTCCCTGGGGTCCTTGACATGGGACAAAAATCAAAATGTTCAGAATAGCATGAGGATTGGCCAGAGGCCACTTGGAAATGGTCTGTGAATTATACCTGGTCCTATAGCAAAGCAGAATATATTTCTTCATAGAAATGAGATGGTTTCACAATTAAGGCCAACTGCTAAAATTTTATTAGCTTAGCCAGGGGAATTCTGTTTCTCGACAGACTGCTAAAAAAGTGGAGCCATTCCTTCCCCCAATGGCTTTCTGGCTTATTATGTTTTTGAGAAGGGTAATCAGGTGTTACGGAAGGGGCAGAACAGGAGGTGGGACCCCAGAGCGGCCCAGGAAGCCTGAGGGCCAGAGGTCCTTGGGGCTGAAAGAGTGTGTGCCTTCACTGATAGTCATTGTGGGTTCTCACGTCCTCTGGCAGCGCTGGCCCCGAGATCTCTCCCACCACATCTCAGCTCTCCTCCCTCCCTTGCTCCTTAAATTCTGGCCACACCACCCCTTCTGGGTCCTCATCCACCCCAGCCCTTCCTGCCTCTTCCTGGCAGGCCTCTGCTGCTCCTAACCTTGGCTCATTTGTCCTCATCCAGCTTAATGTCACCTCTGCTCCGATGCCCACAGTGGCCTCTTCTTTTCCCGTATAGCACTTAACCACAATTTGCAACAGTAGATTTGCACGTGTATTTCTTTAGCGAGGCTCCCGTAGGCCACGAGGTCTGTGAAGATAGAGGCCACACACGTGCAGTCCCTCACAAGACATGTAACTCTCAGAGCCGGGCACGTAACACAGGGGCGTTTGTTAGATGAACAAAGAAATCAGTGAAAGAATGCAGGAACAAATGAGTGAATACTCAGCGTTTAAGGGTGATTTCGGACAGATGAGAGGTGCTCATGGACAGCAGGACAGCTGGCCTTCAATAAATAATAAATTGAGGAACCAAGTGGGTTTGGTTTTGTTTTTAGCCAGAGTAGCCTCATACGGAGAGAAAACAATGAACGTGTTTGGTTTAGCACAGTGGTTCTCAACCAGGACCCTTTCAGGTCATCATACCTGGGGGTGTGGATATGACTGGCGTCAAGTGGGTCAAGGTCAGGGGTGCCGCTTAACATCCTACACGGCGGACAGCCCTCGCCACACAGAACTATCCAGCCCAGAATGTCAGTAGTGGCCAGGTTGAGAAATCCTGGTTTCGAAAAAAAGCTAATTCAAGTGATAAAGCACTACAGGCAGAAAGAGAAAGGGGCTGAAGGAATGTTCTCACGTGTTTCTGTGTTTTGGAGGAGACAGAAGGATGGCTCTAGTAAAGTGAGCACTTAGCTCACCTGGAGTCAGGAGTGTTCAACTTGATTGAACTTGTTAATCAAAACTGAGGAGGATCGTCTCCACAGCAGCTGTTAGAGGCGTACTGGCAAAAGAGACTGAAAAGCCATTTTTGAAGGCCCATAACTTCTCCACGAGAACGTTAAAAAGAAACGGAAGTTCGCACATCTTTCTGAGGCTAACATGAGGGTGAGGGAGAAAATTTCATCAAACAAAATTTCAAGTACCTGGATGATGAGCCGCGAAGCAAAAAAAAAAAAAAAAAAAATCGTTTTAACATCAACAAGCATTAAATTTCCTGGGGAAAAATTAACAGAAGGAAGTAAGTATCCATCTTCTGTATTAGCTGGGACGGGCTGGAATCTGCTGGGGTTCCGACCTCTCACCGTCTCAGTGGTGCTACACAACCCAGGTTGATTTCTCACTCCTGCTGCCGGTCCATCCTCACTGCTGGGGACCCAGGTGAGCGCAGGTCCCAACACAAAGGAATGCAGCCTCAGAGGGACAGCAAGTCACTGCCCAGCCCCTACACACTCGGCCCAGAAATGACACATGCGTTTGTGCTCGTGTCATTGACTAAAGGAGATCACGCGACCACAACGAGCTTCAGTGGGTGGGGAAGTGCCTGGAAGGGAAGGCAATGTACGTAGCGCCTACATCTACCAGGTAAACCAGGTAAACTACCAGGACGTTGAATCGGACAAGCGAGGCGGGGTTCTAACCTAGGGCTCTCAAAGCACGTGGAAATTACCAAAGTATATGTGTGTCCTAAAAAGGTAATACTCCCTCTAACCCCCCAATTGCAGAGCTTCCCACAACTGGACATGTGAGAATAGCGCTATCTCCAGAACCTGGTGCCGGGCCAGCTCCACTGTAGTTGAATTTCTTCCTCGGGTTAGGGAGGGGTTGGGAACGACGTGACCGGGCTGGGCAGTGCAGGGGCAGCTGCACCTGAGAACTGGTTCCAGCTCCCTGTGGCCAGGACGCCCGAAGTCTCAGCAGGTGGGGAGTCGGGGCGGCAGGAGGTCACAGCAGAAGGAAAGTTTGCTTCTTCATGCCAGATTTAGAATCACATTCATTTAGGAAACAAGACTGAGACCTGGTCTTATTATACCTGCCAGGTGTTGGGTATATGCGGTGATTTGGGAAAGAGCATCCTTCGTGCCTTCTCTGGAATAAGACAATGGCTGAGGTCGTTGCTGCAGATTCAGAACTTGACCTTGGGAAGGACTAGATGCACACATTTCTGTGCTCTGTGCCCAGACTGAAGTTTTGTTTTTTGGGTTTCTTTAATTGAAATATAGTTGATTTACAGTGTTGTATTAGTTACAGGTGTACAGCAAAGTGATTCAGTTATATATACATATATATATGTGTGTGTGTGTGTGTGTATATGTCTGTTCTTTTTCAGATTCTCTTCCATTATAGGTTATTATAAGATACTGAGTAGAGTTCCCTGTGCTGTACAGCGGGTCCTTGTTGGTTATCTATTTTATATATAGTAGTATGTACACGTTAATCCCAAACTCCTAATTTATTCCCCCCCCTTCCCCTTTGGTAACCATAAATTTGTTTTCTATGTCTGTGAGTCTATTTCTGTTTTGTAAATAAGTTGATTTGTATCATTTTCATAGATTCCACACATAAGTGATATCACATGGTGTTTGTCTTTCCCTGTCTGGCTGACTCCACTTAGTATGATAATCTCTAGGTCCATCCATGTTGCTGCAAATGGCATTATTTCATTCTTTTTTTTGGCTGCGTGCTATTCCATTGTGTTTATATACCACATCTCCTTTATCTATACTCATCTGTCGATTTTTGGGGAAAAAAATATCTTGAAATGGGTGATAGTTGGCAAGTGATTCAGCCCATGGGAATTTGAAGGAAGGCTGCTCACTGTGGGGTCCTCTGGGTAGAGGTGCCCAGGGAGCCAGCCCTCCTGTGATGGGGGGCTCCAACCTGAGCTGTCTGCTACGAGAGTCACAGGACCCATGCAGCCATGAGCACCTGAAACATGGCCAGTCCAAACTGAGACGCACCATCAGTGCACAACAGAACTGGATTTCTCAGGCTCCGCGTGAACAAGAGACTGTTGTTATGAGCTGAATTGTGTCCACCAGAAATTCATGTGTTGATGCCCTAATCCGAGTACCTCGGAAGGTGACTATTTGGAGGTAGGGCCTGATCCAATATGACTGAACTCCATATAAGAAGAGGAGATTAGGACAAAGAC